GTTTCTCTGACATAAACTGTCTCCTGTTGCGTGCAGCTCCCACAGAGACTGAAGGAGAAAGAGCTGGACCCAGGCTAATGTCACAGTCTCCTGATTAAAGGCAGTTCTTTGGTGTGAAGACTTTGTCTTTTGCTCTGCAGATCATCTTCCTAAAGAATGTGATCCTGTCCTTTGGGCCCTTTCTAATGGAGGGGCTCAGCTGTGCTGTGGGAGCAGTGCCTGGATCAATGTTCTGGCCTGATAAAACATGTGGGCACCCCTTGCTATGGAAGCAAGCCTGGGTTGTAAATGTGAGCAGATGCAAAGTGTTCACATCAGCTGAATGGGGCTCAGGAAAGCTTCAGCAAGTCGCATGTAAACTCATATTGCTCGCCTGAGGATCAAGCATGCGGTTTCTGTTGCATACCTGATGCTGGTGGGTTTGATTTTCCTGTTTCTGCCTAAATTGTCGGGTTTGCTTTGCAGATAATGGGTAGCTAAAAGGAAGTTCACAAATGCAGCAGCAGTTGTGCTCCTTCCACAGTTGTACTTAGTCCCTGCTTGGTGCTTCGCAAGTGCTTTTCAAGTCAATTAGCCCTTACACGTTTGGCAGGAGGTAGGGCAGGTATGCTCCACCTTTGATCAGCCCTCATGACCTCCCTTTAAACTATATGCTGAGAAGAAAGCTGTTCCCTTTTCTGCTCCAGGCACAGGCCTGTGGGATGCTGGAGGAGAGCAGGGCTGTGATTGACGTGCAGAGGGGCCCCATGTGCTACGCGGAGGTTCTCCACTCACCTCACGTGGAGGCTTTCACCCTTCACAGTCCTCGCTCAGGTTGTGAGCTGCACCTCAAACCTGGCACTTCGTGACCAGTCTTCATCCGTGCTCTTTCAGATAGCACTACCGTTAATTGCCATGAAGGCCACCCTGAGACTGAGTTGCTTGAATGGTCTTGCTCCTCCAGACAAGCATTACAGCCCATTCCCACTGAGGCTGTGGGGAAGGGGGTGTGTTCAGTGCCACCTCCTCCCCGTGGAGCGCCCCATTCAGCACCTTTCACAAGCAGCAGTTAATGGGATGTTTGTTGGTGGTTTCTGTGGCAGCGTTCACAAGCGAGCGGGTGGATGCTCATTGCTCTGGGTGGGTGGAAGTCGGAACAGAGCAGCCTTGTTGCCAACGTGGATGTCTCCATTCTTCTCATGCACAAAAGAGCAAATACACGTGGGGCTTGGACGGGGTGGTACAGGACCTCCTTCAGCTCAAGAAAAGATGAACCTTTGTATTGCTACCATGAGCTGCTGCTTCTGGTGTTCTGCTGCTCCCTCAGGGCTGGAACTGCAGGCCCTGCTGCTTGCTGCCACGAAGTCCTCCAGTTAGAGATGCCCCTGGACAAGCCCCTGTGTTGTGCCTGAGGTCCCAGTTCTTCCCACCACTCCCAGTGCAAGGTTCCTCCTTCCATTCAGGATGGCCGTGGGCTCTCACTGGGCAGTGTAGGAGCTGGTGTGGATTCCAGAGCTCTGTCCTTCCCTTTTGGCCATCGGTGAAGTGACCTTGCCTCTCCTGATCGAGGTGTATCTCCACCCCAAGAAGCCAGTTTTGCAAGCAGGATCATAGCACACAGGGCCTTAGATTTGTGGGGGCAGGTAGAATCTCAAGCATGGAATCCTGCTTAAATCATTGCTACCATTTCTGGGTACTTCCAGAAGGGTTTCTTTTGAGAATTTCATGGTTTCTACATCAAAACTCCCTCAGAGGGAGTACAATGAGGCTGAAACCAGTAATTTAGAGTGGGGAGTGTCAGCAAGAGTCAAAAGTGACAGAGTGGGTTTTGACTCCGTTTCCTTCTGAAGCTGCTTCCCCTTTGATTATATCCCTCACATTACAACGTGCAGATCTGGAAAGGTGACTGGTTTTTAACGTCTCTCAAAATAAGCAGCATGTTAAGCAAATATCACCACCCTTGTAAGCGGTGCCTGTGTATTGTAATAAACATGCTACAGTATGTATAGCACCATCTTTTGACAGCTGAGTGTAATCAGAGCCGTTGGACATTGTATCATGAGCTCTGTCCTGATGTGATGGAGCAAAGTCTGAGCAGGAAGGAAGATGCTCCTATAGTGAAGAATGAACGTGCCAGTGTGCACAGGGGAGTCAGGATCCTTCCTCTGCATCCTCTGTCCTGGCAAGTACCAGGGTGCTGATGCCCGGTTTGCTCTCTGCATGGTTGTGGAGGTTCTTCCCTGTCATTCCCGTGATGGCTGAAGCTGCCATGGTGGCTCTCGCTCTTGCGATGGCCGCAGTTAGGTGCAGGAAGAAGGCAGCCGTGCAGTTTGCAGTTGCTTCAAAGCTGGTGCAGAAGAAAGGAAGCATCAACAAGACCCTTGTACCGAGCACGCAGCCTGCGGTTCTTCACATAGCCGCAGTTCAGGGGAGTGTTTAAACAAATGTTTGACAACCCAGCAGGGAAGCAGGCTTTGCCTTCCGTGGTGTCAAGCACAGGGGAGGGAAGCTAAGCAACTCCGAGCTACGCTTTAGTGAGCATGTTCCTAATCCCCAGTGCACTTCGTGTATTTATCGCACTTACTTGCTAAAAACATACAAGGCTTCCTCAGGTCGAGCAATATTCTTCACTTCAATTGATCATCCCAGAAACTTGTCTGTCTCTTTGCTCAGTTTGAGCAAATCCAACTTTTCTCCTTGTCTCTCTGTAGATTATGAAAGGCTTCGTGGATTAGATCATGAAATGCAATCGAGCCTGGTGGTGTTGCGCGCAGAGTATCACAGTGATGGGCTGTGCTCAGGTGGCATTGCCTTTCCTTCTCCTTTGAAACTGTTCTGCCTGCGTTGCTGTGAGCTGCTGTCTCTCCCTGCTAATAGGAATGTGCATAAAGCTCACATAATCGTTAATATTGAAGAATCATTAAGGCTGATAAAAGCAGCTCTGGCTGCGATTATGTTGTTCTTCATGGTCACTGCTTGTGGAAAACATGATAGACAAACATCAGCTCAGCTGCCTTTTAGAACCCACCAGTTGATCTAGTGGCTGTTTGACTCCATCTATTGCACACTCGGAGATAGCTCCAGTTAGATGCTCATTTTGCAAGCCTGCAGGAATAAATGGATTTCTAGAGGCTGTCTCTGCTGCCCTCATCCTTTTTCCACAGCCCCTGTTTCTGATGCAGACAGCGTCCGAAAGGCAGCAATCTGTAGCTGAGCACTGAAGTCTAGGTTGGCTTTTTATTAAGGCAATGATGTGCTGACTGGCGGAAAAGTGTCAAAACTGCAGTCTTGTAACATCAACAAAATAAGGCAGGTTGCCTTCCTCATGGGGACGAGTGCTGAAAGCAAAACGGAGCCCTGCAGGAAACCAGTGGATCTGAGCGCTTCTGCTGTGGGAAAAGCATCCACAGTTGCTTTTTTCCCTTAATAAGGAAAGGCCAAAGTCCGAAGGTTCATGACTTGACTTGCCTTTGCCTTCCTCTCCCCTCTGCAGTAGTTCTCAACAGTGCATCCGGCCGGGTTTTCCCTCTCAAGCAGAACTGGAATTGAAGTAACACGGCAGGTGTTACAGGAAGGAGCATGCAGTGAAAGGCTGGGAAGGCTGGGGGGATTTGGGGTAGTGTTCTAAAGCCTGTAGGTGAGCAAAAGGAACTGGCCTGCAGCAAATACAGACATGTCTCAGGAAACCCCCTGGGCACGAGCGGGGTGTGTGAGGCTTTGTGCTTACAGTGGGAAGGGAGATGATGGGGACAGAGCCTGTTCAAGAAACGAAACCTGAACCTCATCCAAGTGATTTCCAAGAGACTCAGCTCTGGCTGTCAGGGGGTGGTAGGAGCGGGGCTGCAAAGGAGCTGTGTGTGTGGGCCCGCACGTGCAGCCTGTCACAGCAACACAGAGGCAGCTTCACGCTGTGGCCCTGGTGCGTTACATGTGCGGAGGGATGAGTGATGAGGGTTCCAAACTGGGATCCTCCACGTGAGCATTAGTGTTTGCAGAGTTACCCAGGAAAGCAATGGCCTTTGTAATGAAAGCACAGAGGGGTTTGAGGCACAGTGTGCTTCCCTACCCTTGGCTTTCTCGTGCTAGAAATAATTCTAGGGAATGCTAACAGAGATAAAACTAGCACTGAGATGTTCCAGACCCAGGGTTGTCAGCATGTCTCATTTAACCTCAACTGCTACAAGACTGACTGCCTCCACAGCCACTGGAGTTTTCTTGGCATGCCGTGCCATGCCACTTCATTCTGTCTCACTGGAAGTTGTCCTGCAGCCCGTCTGTGTAAGACAATGCTTGGCATGCAGTTGTTTTGCATCAATGGGCCAAGTTCTCGATTGGCATTTGCTTCATCTGCATGTGTCCCATTGCCATCTGCTGGAGGCTGGTGCGTGTGCTCCTAGGGACTGTTGTGCCAGGCAGAGGAAGGGAGCTGCCCCTGAGGCCACCCACTCCCTGCTAAAGATGCGTTGAGGTTAGTTCCTGGTCTGTGCTGCTGGTGATGTGATAGTGCTGTTCTCTGATGTCCTGGTAACCCTAGGTCATGGGATGTGCCTCTGATAACAAACACCGCGTCAAGGACAGAATGACCAAAGTCCTGTCTTGGATGCTCTTGCACAATAAAAGCACCAATTCTCTCACCTATGCTTGTAACTGGGTTAGAAAGAGGCTGAATTTTGGGTTACAGCTGAACAAAGAGTAGGGGTGGGATTGCCGAACCGCTTTGGTGTAGACAAGACTGGGAAGCAAGGCCAAGGCGTGCAGCATGCCCGGTGGCTTCAAGTGTGGACCCTGAGCTCTTCCTCGGGGGTATTGTTTCAGAAATGGAAACTGGGCCTCTCCAAAGCAGCCTGTTTTGGATAGCAGAGCTCACTGGTCCTGTTAGCCACAGCCAGTCTGGACCCCATCCAGACATCCCCACTACTGGGACTGGAAGCTGCTGCCTGTCCCAGCTCCTGCGGATTGATGTAGAGCTAAAGAAGACTGCATGGATGGGGCTTCATCACGCTGTTCTGTTTGCAATGCAGGAGGCCTTCGAGGAGCTACAGTGGTAGATGCCTTAGATACTCTGTACATCATGGAACTCGAGGAGGAATTCCAAGAAGCAAAGAAGTGGGTGGAGAAGAGCTTTGACTTGAACGTGGTGAGTCAGTTCCTGGGAATGCCTGTCCATGTCACCAAAATTCCCTGCATTTGGTCACTTCTGGTCACAGCTTTCTCAGAACCATTTGGGGAGGGGAGCTGTGGAGTCTGGGGGGGGAGAAACCACTGTCATGATTCTTCTGCCTATCCAGGGCTTCCAGCCAGGGGCCATCAGCTCAGGCTCCCAGTGTCTACCTGGAAATGAGATTCGGTGTTTAATGTTTCTTGTGTTTTGGTCTGGGTTACAAAGGCAGCTGTAGTCACTAGATGTGCCAAGGAAGTTTATTCATCAAAGAACAAGTTCTGTTTCATCTCAGTTAAATGTCTGCTTGTGGTAAGACAAGTTTTCCTTTTGCATTCTGTAGATTAAGATGGAAAACGCTGATCTCATTGACTGGGTGCTTTGTTGGTATGTCAGTGCTGTGAGCACAGCAACGTGCAGTGTCTCCACAAGTGTCCACGCTCCACAAGTGTCTGCACTTGGAGCACTGTCTGCAGATCATGTCTTCAGCATAAGATGGACATGGAGCTGTTGGAGCAAGTGCCTGGATTTGGAAGGAAGGGCATCGCTCTCTGGGCCCCTGTCCAAGCCACTTCCCAGAGCTAGTGTTAGAGCTGCTGGGCCTCTGGGTGCAGCACAGTGCTGTCAGATGAAGGATGCTGTCCTTTATCTCACTTTGTGGATGGGGCCCCTTGCATAGCTCTGACTGTTGTCTCCCAGCCAGCTCTCCTAGTTCTCATGGAAGAGCTGATGGGACCTTGTCAGGGGCATATGGAGAATGTTAAAACCCGAGCAGGGTTTAAACTTTGAGGTTTTTAATGCTGGCCCTGTTGTCTGTTGTGCAAAATGGTTCTCCCCATTGAAACAATGCATGCAGCTGCCTCATAGAAAAGCATCATTTGGGAGGGCACGACTGACATTCATGTATTCATAAAAGGAAGACCACATCTGATAAATCTGGTGAATACTCTCAGTACGTTACTGAATCAATAAACAAGGGACAAAATCAACTGGGAGATAATTTATCTGGATTTCATAAAAGCTTTTAATCTTGGCCTGCAGAATAGATTGATCTGCAAAGACAAGAGTGAATGCTCTGGATTGATCGGGGGAGTCAGGCAGCGCAGCAGAGGGGGAGAGGAGGGAAATTCATTACAGGTTGGCTCTGTACAAGGAGCACTGACAGTCCAGAAACGGGGCTCCAGCGCCCACTGCCTCTGGTTGAACCTGGGTACCGTGATGGCTCGTGCAGTTTCAATCATCATCTGAAGGAAGCACCTGCTCTGCTCTGTAACCTGCAGGTGTTTGGAAAGGGCAGGCTAGTGCAGAGGTGTGGGTGCCTCTTTGTTGCTGTGTTGGTGGAAGAGCTTTCTGAGTTTTGGCTCTATCCACGTGAGGGTAGGAATCTTTTCTCATGCAGATTCAACAGCCAGAAACACCTTGTTTTTGACAGTACGTTTTGCATGCAGTCATTTTGACGTTGGCTGCTCATCAGCTGAGTAGGTAGAGCAAAACGTGTTCCAGGTGAGCGTGTTCTGGAGTGATTCAGGGAAGCGTAGCCACGTGCATCTGCTGCCTGTGGTGGTGGCACATGGACACCACGCAGGTTGTCTCTGTCAGCGGGCCTGCCACAGGCTCCCTGCAGGCTGCGGTCCTCTCTGAGCCTGCAGATGGGCGAGTTCTTGAGTGACAGCAAATACCTGCCAAAAGCAGGCAGCGCACCAGGTCTGTCTGGTGCAGTGCCCTCTTCACAGGGAAATGCAGGAAGTCGTTTTTCCTTGTGGCTGCACAATTTTCTCTTAAATGAAGCATTTCAACAGGCAGATTTTTGCCCTGAACTGACAGCTTTCTGCAAGGCATGACCCAAGTCAGGGTTGGATGGATGGACAATGCACCTGGACATACTGTCAGCTGGGGATGAATAGGCAGTTTGGGTATTTCTCCTCCCTTCAAGCTCCTTGTGTCACTGTAGAGCAGATAAAGTGCTGTGAGATCTTAGACAAAAAGCTACGTTTCACTGTGGGTGAGGACTGGGAGACTTTAAGTGTCTGCCTGCAGTCTGTTCCCCTTAGCTGCCATTTGTGTGTGCAGACTTTGCAGTCACGTCTATCATTATGTATTTTCAGAACGGAGAAGCATCCTTGTTCGAGGTGAACATTCGCTATGTTGGAGGACTGTTGGCCACATACTACTTAACTGGAGAAGAGGTTGGTTTCTGCAGCTCTGCATGTCTCACACAGTCACCACTAATGAACTGAGAGGGTTCTCCAGCAGCTCTTCTCTGAGCATCAGAAGATCCCTCCATGAGAACAGGCCAAACCTGTCGTTTTTCTCAATATCAATATGCCACTAATGTTCTTTTAATTAAGTCTCACATAATTACCTTGCACACACTGTGCATGGCTCATTGGTAAATCTGTTCTCCTGTGGGCAATTCCAGCAAGACCCGTTTTCAGCTGGATACAGTGTTCCCTGGTGAAGTGCCATTTGCAGTCATCATTCTCTTTGCCCTTGTCTCTTTGTATTTTAAACATAGGCAGGATTTCATCAAGCATCATTCCAGATTCCGCCTCAGACTAAGGAGGGTGACTGCTTAGTGGCAACTGCCCCAAACTCCTAAGTCAAAGTGCCCTGGGCTGCAGGGAAGGGACCTGCATCCTGCCAACAGAGTGCTGCAGCAATGCACCATGTTCCCTTGCCGAGCAGCTGTGGGTGCCACAGACCCATCATAGGGAAGCCACCCTGCAGTGGATGCTCCCGTTCTGGCTAGAGCCATTTCCCTTCTTTCTCTCCAGCCTGCAGAGGCCAGGGCTTAATGCCATAATCTGTTTTATAATGTGCCTGGCCTGCAATTCCACAACTGGCTGTAGAGAGATGAAGAGATTATTCCTTTGCTCTGGAAGTCTTAGGCAAGCAGAAACTCTGATTCAAGGGGGAGTTTTGTGAGTGAAGGAGCTGGAAGACCGGTTCTTAAATGAGAGCTTATCTCCCATGCCAAGCAATGACCATGGCTGGGTGTTGTCCACCTTAATCGGATGGGATGGCTCACCACTGATCCGTGGAATCACAGGAGCAGCACAATTACTTCCATTGCATTTTAAATGAGTTCCAGGAATGGCTTCTTTCCGTGATATCCCTCCAGGGAAAACTCTCACAGACTCCAGTGCCCCAACTCGGGCCTCGTCTTGATCACAACTTCAACAGGCTTCAGATTAACAGAGCAAAAAGAAACAGCATTAAAGCACAGAACTCCAGCAGTGACCTCTTGAGATGCAGTCAGCAGTGATGCTCAGCAGCCAGGGCAGTGCCTGGCCTATTCCCACTCAGGGTCACCACACTGAAAGGCAAACCTCATGTCCCACTCTCTTGCTTTCCCTTCTGAACCAAAGCCCTGTCTCCTTGGGAGCGGATCACAGGTCTGCAGCCCCACAGGAGAGCTCGGATTTCCTCAGTGCTGTATTTTTAGAGCAATAAATTCCTGCTTTCTGTGCACTCCTGTGAGAGCTCGGGCTGGTGGGGGGGGGGGGCTTCATCTCCTGAGTCACTTACAGGCTTCCCTTGATCAGAACTAATCTCTGGAGCAAAGATTGGTGCTTGTATCAGCTTGTGCCAAAATAATTGTGTGCTGCCTTTGTGCTGCAAGCCACCATAAGCTGTAACTCGATTTGAAAGCCCAAAACTGAGGCATCACAAATGGAAAAGGAGCAGCTTAGCCACGAAACCATGAATCCTTCCTGGAAAAGAGTTGCAAGTAAAAGATTGATTGTTGGAAACCACGTTTTTTCCAACAGGAGATGACACAAGTGTTGTCAATCTAACAATGCTGCACCCTCGAAAGATGTCTTTGAATGCTAATTCAGTCATTTCAGCTCCCTGTGTCCTCTGCCACCTTGGGAAAAGGGTGGAATTTGGCCCCAAAGACTCCTCTTTGGATGAGTTCAGATCCCAGAGGTCTGCTGCTGAGACACTGGGGTGTTCTGAGCTCTGCAGCTCTGACTGTGCTCAGCCAGGCTGAGGGTTTGGCAGGGGCTGGGCCAGCTCTAGGGGAGGTTTTTAGAGGACATTCGGGTAGATCCCAACATTCAGCAAGAGTTCTGGTTCGGGTCTGTCGTGCAGTGGAGCGAGGGCAGCAGCGTACCTGGAACAGCAGGCTCTTACAGTGCAGCAGGCGGAGGTTGTTATAATGGTGTATGTGAAGGAACCCGGTGTGACTGGTGCTCACAAGCAGCCCATCACATACCGATCCTCTCTTCTTCTTTTAACAGGTCTTCAAGAGCAAAGCTTTGGAACTGGGAGAGAAGCTTCTGCCGGCTTTTAACACCCCCACGGGGATCCCGCGCGGCGTCATCAATTTGGGCAGGCAAGGCTCACGTCCCTCCCAGCGCATCGTTCTGGTTGTGGATGTTTGTAAAAGGCCAGGATTCAGGCAGGAGCAGCAGCAGCTCCTCAGAGGTGCCCCCCTCTAGTGCACATTCCTCCAGGTCATTTGTTTTGCCAACTCAAACCCCAGAGGTGCCTTGGCAGGGATTGCAGGGGACTCAAGTTAAACCCAGCTGTGTTTCAGTAACCTGGGGCTCTCTGCAGTTTCCTCCTCTACCTCTTGGCAGGGCTCCCTGCTGCAATAGCAGTTTCCTCACCCTCATCTGCTTTGGAAAGTGATGTGTAGTCTGCACCCAGCATGCATGTAGCTCTGTATCTTTGGAGAGTGCCCAACAAGATGAGGGTGAATTTATCCATGTTTGGAAAACTTGGGAAAGGAACTGGCTGGGCCTGGCTGACAGGTTTGGTGCTAGAAAGGGGGGTACTGTACAGATCCTCCAGTTTTCTCCTTGCTGCCAGCATTCAGCCGTTCTCCTTCACTGGGAGCCAGCACGTTTCATGTCAGGTAGGTGGTGGTGTCACGCTGGAGGGGAGCTTTGGGTCAGATACCTTGCTGAAGGTCTCTGAGCAGAGGCACACGAGGCAGCCAGAGCACCAGCCTCTCATTCATGCCAGCAGACAGTGTTCCCTGCCAGTGAGGGCTCATTGGCTCCTTTTGATGCCTCCACACAAATCCCCCTGGGCAAAAGCTGCAGCTGAAGCAGAGGCAGTTGGAAATGGGGGTTAACCAAAGCCTTTCATCCTCACCTCTTGCAAAACTCCGAGTAGGAACCATGAGAATCATTCCAGCTCTCCCGTTCCGTTCGTGTCTCTGTGCAGTGCAGGACTTTCAGGTGTTTGGCTCAAGCTGCTCCATTGCTCAGGTACCACTGACACCCTTCAGTTGTCTCGTCTGCACGTGAGCCTGGTGAAAAATGGAGCCACCGCAGCCACTTTAATTGTTGCTTTCACAGAAGAGACTTTCTGCTTCCTCTGTGGCTGATGAGGGCTCTGTGGCACAGAGAAACCTTTCACAGAAATGCCAAACCTCCCCTGCCCTTCCTGGAGACAATTGGAACAGACTCTGCCTGCCTGGGCATTCCCAGCATGTTTTGCTGATGACCTTGACTAAGAGCAAAGCAAAGCAGCACTGAGCCTGCAGTCAGAACCAATGTTACTGGCTTAAGCCCTGGCTTCAGGGCCATGAAACCGCTCTGAGGGCTCAGAGGATCGATTGCTCAGGAGCAAGGATGAAGTAGTCTGACTATTTCTACTGACTGCTACTCCTAAATCTGTAGTCTGACTGCTGCAGGCACATGATGAACAGCCAAAGGCTGTGAACCCAAAGGGGCAGGGAGCTACTCAGTGTGAGGTTGCATGCGGAGGTGGAAGCAGAGGAGAGCGAGGTGGTGCTGTGCACGCACACTGACCCCAGTGTCAGGGCGAAACCAAAGCCCAGAAGGAATTCTCTCTCCAGTTCTACTTTCGCAAGGATGTGCTAATTCCAGAGAGACCTCATCAACCCAGAAGGGGGGGAGCCTTGCCGCGTGTGTAGGTTCTGGTGGTGTCGGCCCGGGGGGGTGTTAAGAATGACATCCAGAGATTTGAAACAAACAGAAGCTGGCATTAAGTCAATTCCTACACGGGTTTTGAGGCCCCAACTACCCCAACCCCTCAGCTCTTCCCAGAGCTAACTGCCTTTATCTCTTCCTATCACTTCACACCACCTTTTCCTCTTGTGTCCCCTTTCCGCTGATGTGCTTCCCTGTGGCCTCCTGTTTTCGCACAGGCACTGTATCATCTCACACAGGCTTGTTTTCCATCCTGCTGCTCCAACTGCCACGCTGTCTGCCAGGTGCTGGAGTACATTGTCTTCCCAAGCTGCTGCTCCGTGCTCCCTGCCTATGTGTTGCTGCACTGTGGTTGCTCTCCTGATGCCTCCCATTCTGGGTCCGTGATCCCTGCTTTCCTTCCCTTAAGCCCTCTACACCTCCAGATTTTTCTTCATCATCCTCTCCTGGTCTTTCTCTTGGTTTGGCTTTGGGTCTCTGTGAGGGAAGGAGATGATCCAACCCCGTTCAGCAGCTTCCAGGTCCTGCCTGTCTGACCCGGCTCAGAAGACAGCTTCTGTTTGTGAGGTGGTGTTTGTTAGAGTGTCCCTTCAGGGCAGTAAATAAAGGAAAAGTAATTGACTCCTTTAGATAGAACATGGTGGGATGGTTTCACACCCCCAGTGGCTGCCAGGTGGTGTCCAATGTGATATTAAAACCAGCATCAGCCTGGGCAGGCTGAAGGCTGCACGGGGAGGTTTGTGCCATAGGCGCTCCATGTTCCTGGGTACCAATTTCAGCTGCACACTGTGTTTTCGAATGAAAAGCTGGTGCTGCAGCCTCCTGACATTTCCCAGGAAGGCTGATGCTTGGCAGTGACTGAGCAATTGGAAACAGTGTGAACATATTGCTGATCTAATGGCTTTTTTTGTCTGGAGGCGAAACAAACAGCTCTGGACCTGAAATGGTTTTCCATAGATCACATGGAGGGGAAGCTTTTTTTTTCCCCCTCGGAAAGACCATTAGTTTTGGCCTCCTGTAAACAGCAGAAACCCTTTTCCTTCTCCCAGACACTTTTCAGGCGCCATCTAGTGCTACCCTCCCCATCACTGGAAACCTGTTCCCTCATCAGAGTCAGCTGCAAACAGAGATGTGAAAATCAAACAACCACTTCCGAGTCCTGAAACTGTGTCCTGCTGGGACGTGGTGCATGCTGCAGGCACATAGCAAAGGCAGGGTCTGTGCTGGGGGGACCTCAGGCTGGTTTTCTTGGCAGTGAAGGTTCTGTTTTCTCTCTCTGCAGCGGCATGAGTTGGAGCTGGGGCTGGGCATCTGCTGGGAGCAGCATCTTGGCAGAATTCGGTACCTTGCACTTGGAGTTCCTGCACCTCTCGGAGCTCTCTGGCAACCCCGTGTTTGCAGAAAAGGCGAGTACTTCCCAACCTGGTCTTTAGTGAATTGGTCTCTTTATAGTGCTGGGTCCGTGCTGGAGCAGAGCAGCACTGTGGTCTGCCTGCAGCAGATAACATGGCAGCAAAGTGTTCCTTTTCCCCAGTACCAGTAGAGCTCACCAGAGGAGAAAGCTTCCGGAGTGGGACACGGGTTCAGAAACCTGTCTCCAGGCCTCAGAGCATCTCTGAGAAGGAGGCAGTGAGCTCCTGTTGGAGATCCTGCCACACCAAGAGGCCTTGGAAGGCAGCTGCCCCAGTGCTTCCTTTGGCTGTTCCCATTTGCTGCAGCCCCTTTGCCTGCCTCTCCATCACTTGCAGCCCCTGAGGAGACAGAGATGTCTTTTCCAGTGTCTGTTGTGTGAAATTGTAGAACAAACTCACTCAGACAAGGACACAGTCCAAATGAAACCATCTGTTGGATGAACAGATGAGAGAGGCTGTGAGGATAATTGTTAATTCTGATATCCTAATAGTAGTGCCTTGTACTTGCAGACCTCTTCACTCTAAATAGGCATTAAATGTACGCTCCAGCCAGCAAGAGTTCTGCTGAGGTTTCTTGTGTAGGCAAGGCCTGACAGTTGACATATTGGATTCCTTTTGTGGAACTTGTAACTGAAAATCTATTAATATTATACATTACCTTGAGCTTTTTTTTCCACAAGTGATCTTCTAGTGCATGTGAGAGCGACTTAATAAATATGCTGCTGGATACCAGCAAGCCATTGACTTGTGCTGCACGTCCCTGAGGAACCAGCTTCGAGGGAGACAAACTGTTCCAGTTAGAATCCAAATGCCCCCATGAGCCCAAAGGAAAGAGGGCCTGTCCAGGGTGGGCTGAAAACAGGCAGTGGTTCTAGGAATGCCAATAAAAAGCTCAAAATGTGACTTTTCTAGGAAATGCCCAGTGCAGATCTGTCAGTTGTGAAACAAGAAGGGAATGTGAAGAAGAGACAGGAAGAGAAGGAAGAAGCTAGGAGACCAGAACGGAGAATAGGATGGAGTGTACGGAAAGCAGTAAGGGTGGGGTAAGCAAGAGGAATGTCACAGAGGAGTGAGCAGGAGAGGAAAGCAGAGGGTGAGGGAAAGCTAAGAAACCAGGGGAACTCTGTAGGGGAGATAAAAAAGGACTGGTGATTTGAAACACAGGAGACAGGCTGAAGATCCCTGAGGACAGTGATAATGACAGACTGCTCAGAGGAAGGGGGGAGCTGAGGAAAGACCAGTAAAGGAAACAGTGGTATGGAAAGAAAACGTGTGCGAAGGCAATGAAGGGTGGGGGAAGAAGATGAGCACTGGAATCACAAGGGCAAGAAGATGCTCTGTTAAAAAACTAGAACGGGATCCATGCTCTAGAGCCAAACTGTGGCATTTTGAGCCAGAGTCAAGCCTTTTCCCCAAGCTCATAAGCCCAGGGAGGGGTAAGGGCAGAATGTTTCTACTGGAGCCTGCTGAGCAGAGTGTGCCACAGGACATGTCCTCGCCTTCCTGCTGCCAGCCTCCGAGAGAACACAGAGGATGGTGTGGGCTCCATCTGCCCATCCCCTGGGAAGCTGCTTGAGAGGAGCAGATTAACTCATTAACTTGCAGCTTGGGACTGGTGTGATTTTAGCAGGAGTAGAGTCCATCTGTGTCTTTTATTCAAACATGTCATTACTGTGCCACGCTGCTGGACTCCCGTGAGTGCTCTGCAGCACGAGGACTTACTTGGAAGCACCAGCTTAAGTCTGCAGCCAGCTTTTAGTATACACATTCTCTAATTTGATAAAAGGTTTAGAGTGTATTAGCTGCTCTGTAGGTTATAATAGAATATTTATGCTGCATACCATTTAACTTTGTCCCTTATGGGAAGGGCCTATTGGAGTTAATGGGGGTGAAGCCAAGGGAGGTTTTAGAGCTGTTCTAGTGTATTAAAGAAGCTGTCTGTTGTTGAAATTAAAAGCCCAAATTTATCATGTTAAGTGACCACATGGTGAATTCAGGTAGTATGTGAGTCACTCATCCCTGCCACTGCTTTCCTTTGGATCATAATAAAAATCACATACCTTTCCACCCTCAGGACTGCTTCTGCAGCACTGTGAGTGAGCTGTTGCCACTGCTTGCTGAACTGAACTGGGCCTTGCAGGGTTTGTAGGATCATCTCTAAAACCCAGCACTGAGGAGCTGCAGAGCTCTCAGTGACACTGCAGGACCATTGGCTTCTTCAGCAGAGAAGTAACAGAGCTCTTGTCTCTCATCTCTCCTAGGTGATGAACATCCGCAAGGTCCTGAACAGAGTTGAGAAGCCACAGGGCCTCTATCCCAACTTCCTCAGCCCGGTGACAGGGAATTGGGTGCAGCGTAGGTATCACTGCGTTCACAGTCCTGCCGGGAGCGTTTCAGTCTTTGCATTGCTCTTTAGGAAGCAATAGTAACTGTCAGAGCAGCACGCCAAGAAAATGTCTTGTCAGGCAGCCACTTATACACGTGATTAGATAACACAGCCCCATTTGTAAGATGCAATATAGTAATTGTACGCTTATTCCATCAGGCTTGTTTCCACCTGAGTGTCTCACCTCCAGGAAGAATTAGGGCCTTTCTTGCATGGGGGAGGATAATGGTACATGGTTCATCACACACATGTCAGAAAGCAGCACAGCTCTTTTAAGACCTCATCCTGCAGGCATCACATAGCCCACAGGCCTGCCTGGGAGTTGCATGTGTGGCTGTGAGCAGAAGCACAGTAAGATTTCCTTCCCAAGTGTGCTGCAGCAAGTAAGGAACCACCAGGAGAGGCAGAGGGCTTATGGAGCCTCACATCCCCTGAGGGTCTAGGGATGCATCCTCCTGTATGCGTCCGTGTACCTCTTACCATGGTACCTCTGTGTGTTGCAGTTTGGTACAAGGGTACAACAAGGATGTATTCTCTCTTGTTGGGAACCCAGCACTGGCCAGCAGCGAAGACATGGGCATTGAATAGATGCTGTTCTGATACGAAAGAGGAGCAATAACTAGGAAGGGACTTGAAAAGAGCAAGGAAATGATAGAAGCAGTGTAACCAGGGGAAGGTTATTTACTTCCCTGCTCTACCCACACAGCCCCTTCCTTACCCAGAAAAGAGACTGTACTTCTCTTTTTGTGCCACCAAAGGGCAGAAGCTTGCCTTCTGGTAGGCACATGAAAGGCTACTTCTGCTGTTGTGCCCCACATCTCTGACCTCTCTGTTGGGGATTTGCTTGGTTTGGTTGCTGGATTTCCTGTTGCTCTGTCAAAGGAAAGAAAAGTCTTGTTTTTTTTTGCAGAAGCTGTTTTTAACCTGTCCCTGGGTTATGTTTATCTTGTTGAAGCCGTTTTCTTCGAGTTACTGCATTACGTGGTGTTCTCCTGACTCTTGCACTGTTTGCTCTGCTCCAGCCCTTTCTAACTACTGTGCTAATGGCTCTGATTGTAGCTGACAGGCAGTTGCATGAGACAGAGTGGGAGCTCTAACCCTGAGCAAGCTCTGGTCTTTCACTACCGCAGCAGTACCTCTAATGATAATTGACAGGGCTTGGCTTGAAAGGTGTCCCAACAAAGCATCTGAATGGCTGCGGTTGTCCCATTAAACCGGAGCTGGCCTTTGGTGCCATGAGGAGAGAAAATAGGCTTCTGTGTTTGTCCCATTCATTGATGTTCAAAGTTATCCAGTCCCTTTGTAAGCAGTTCAGCTGCTCCTCCGCACTGCTCTCTGCAGAGTTGCTGCAGTATGTTCCGCTTGGAAAGCAAATCTCCCGCACCCTGAGGTGCCATTTTCCATGGGTTATTCCCAACCAGCAGCCACCCTTCACGTTTTACCAGACACAGCATTAGTTCTGCCTATTCAAGGGTGCTGAGAGCTCTCCTAGAGCTCCAAGTCATGAGGGCAGCTCATGGGGCAGGCTGTTTGCAGCAGTGGTTCATGATAGAGCCTTGCGGTCTGAATCAGCCTCTTCTGCATGTCCAGTGGTGAGAAAGAGATTAGGACCGAAGCAGGGAGGCAGCTGCAGCCTGTCACAGAGATGTCCCCTGTAGGTGCCAAGCTCTCATTTTCTCTCTTGTCATTAAAGCTCTTTGCAGGAAGCAGTTTTTCTTGGAATTGCTGTGATTTTCTTAAAAGGTGTATCTTTGACCTGCCTGAATGAGCACATCTTGCAATGAAGACGCAGTGCTGCGCCTCTCCCGAGTGCAGTCCTTACCTGGAGAGAACTAAAGCACAGTCCCCTGATGAAATCAAGAGTTTGATTATGCAGTGCCTTGGAGGCAAATGCTGGCAAAGCTGGTGCCATATGGAAAACAATTATGTACCAGAGCTCCTGCTTTGGTGCTTTTATGAATGACACGCTCAGGATCACAGAGCTGCTCTGTAAAGACAGGCTGTGCAGGCCGTGTTTGCAAATAGTCTGTCCTCTGTTTTGTTGAATTCATGCGTCTAATCTCGTTGTTTTGCTTTGGATTATTCCTGGATCATTGGGCACACTGTATCAGCAATATTTGCTCTTCAGGTCAGGATGTCATGGCTGTTGATCACTTCTTTTGCTAGGATTTAGCATTTAGGATAAGTCTCAGGACGTTATGAATGTACAGAGGTAGGGAAAACACAAATCTGACCAGCTAACTCCAAACCCTGCTGCATCTGCTTCATTGGCAATGAGGACGCACACCAAGAGGTGGACACTGTTCCTTAGCAGGGATGGTACAGTCCGGGGTGGGTAATTTGTCTTGCTCTTCTAAAAAGGGGCGAACTTGGCTGCTTGGAAGAATAGATGCTGCCTTTCCCCCTGTGGTACAATTTACAGACACACTGCAGCCAGCCTTTCACCCAGGCAGGATCCTGCCGCTGCCATCCCCATTTCACAGTGCAGTTCTTCAGCATCCTCCTGTAAGGTCACAGCTCCGTGTGCTCAGAGCCGATCGCCTTGAAAATCTCTGCAGAAGGAAATATTCAGTGCACATCCTCGGACCTGACTTTATCATTTTAATATGCCGACAGCCCCAGCCTTCCCCAGGGCACTGAGTCCCACCATGAGCCAGGAATACAAATGGCATGATGGAGAGGTCCCTACAGCAGCCCCTTGCTGGCAGCTCTGTGTGATCCAGCATGCTTTTTCCCTTTCCTGAGGCAGGGAGGCAGCACCCAGTGGCTTCATATAAGTAGAGATCTATCAATACCTGCCATTGCTTTTGGTTTATGAGGCTGGGATTTATGATGATTGCTTCGTAAATAAGAAGCATCTTCAAGTTGCAGTATAAATAAGTTGCAAAGTTAAGACCTCTGCATAGTTTTGGTAAGGGATACTGATGCTTTGTAAAATGACTGAACATTTTTCTTCTGATTGCACTTTCCACCTTTCTTGCTTTTTGAAAAAGAAATGCTGCAAGCTCTCCCCAGGAAACTGGAAAGAAGACGGAGAGAACAAGGGCATTAAACAAGACATGGTTGTTTGTTCTTTGTAAAGCAGCTGCTCACTGTATATCATGAAGCTGAAGTTCTCTTCTGGCTTTCCCACTACAGATCACGTCTCCATTGGGGGGCTTGGGGACAGCTTTTATGAATATCTCATCAAATCTTGGCTGATGTCGGACAAGAAAGACTCTGAAGCTAAAAAGATGTATGATGATGCACTAGAGGTAAGGAGCAAATTGCTGCTCTATATTTTGGGGGAGGAGGACATTGGTTGTCAGACTGTTTCAGGCAAAAAATATCCCATATCTTTGGGTTCTGTGGTATTTACTCCACTCCTTTCCACTAAGTAAATACTTAATAAGCGACTTGCTGTCCATTATGTATCTCAAAATCCTGGTTTTCATCCCTTTAGGCAATAGAAAAGCATTTGGTCAAAAAGTCAGCTGGAGGATTGACCTACATCGCTGAGTGGAGGGGTGGTGTCTTGGATCACAAAATGGGCCACCTGGCTTGTTTCTCTGGGGGTATGATAGCCCTTGGAGCTGAACACGCTGGAGAAGAGAGGAAGCAACATTACATGGATCTCGCTGCAGAGATAACAAGCACATGTCATGAGTCTTATGCACGCTCAGGTAAACCTGTGGACTGCCTGGAAAGTATTAGTAAGGGGTCACCTACAGCCTTAGGAGGCTCAGCTTTGGTGTGGCAGAGGTTTGCATCCCTGTGTGTGATTTTCAGTTGTCTTTTCTGGGCTATCTAGAAGAGAAAGCAATGTGGTTTACAGCTGGAGCAGAGGGACAGGCAGATGGGAGCTCCTGTGGCAGAGCTGGGAAGACAACCCACAGCTTAGTCCCACCCTGAGTCACAGAACTGGCTTTCTCCCAGCTAGACTATAGTTTGAGTCTATCTTTTCACATCCCTTCGCAGACAAAAAGGGGAGCTTAACAGATTAATTGCAAAGCATCCCACTCGATGGAGCAGAGCAGCTGAGAAGCCCAGCAGCAGAGTGTGGGAGGCCTGCAGCTGCTGGTAGGAACAAAACAAATGAAGTCTCTGCTGCTGTTGAAGAGAGGCTGGCTAAATCTTGCTCCTTCCCAAGGCCTGGAAAATTAGTTTCAGCACCCAGTGTGCTTATCAGGGAGGGCTTTGGGTGAGCAGTGACCTGATGAATGAGAGTCTGGGTTATTCTGTGCCTGCAGGGCTTTCAGCAAGAGGGGCTTGCTTTGGACACCACTCCTTCCTTTGTAGGCATCTCTGTAGCTCTTCTGAGACTGCAGGCAGCGAAGCAGCACGCTGCTTTCTTGGACCTTGTCAAGCACAGGTCTGTCTGCTCAAACTGTTCCCAAAGGTTGTTTCACACCTTCACCACATCAGCAAGCCCATGCTGGCAGCCAGTGTCCAGCACGTTTGCCCAATGAACTTCAAGCTAACCTGAAATGTTCACAAATAACTCTCCTTTTCCCCCCAGCGCTTCCAGAACTAAACCAAGTCACCCAAACTAATAACCCTCTGGTTGTGAGTGCCTGGAGCCAATTTTCACCTTCAGCAATACCCATCAGCATAGAAAGGACGGTAGCAACCTGCCCCCACTGGTGACAGTGCTGTCACTTCAGCAAGCTCATTGATTTACAGAGAATGCTTGTGCATGTCACCCTGGCTCTCAGCAGATGGCCCAGCACTGTTAGATCCCTGGGGGGAAGGTGTGCAGCACAGCTGGAGAAAGAAAATGACTCCCTGAAACACGACCACACATGGGAACAGCAGGAGAAACCTTGTGGCATGAACACAGTCATAGAGTCACAGATTGGTTTGGATTAGAAAGGATCTTAAGATCATCAAGTTCCAGCCCCCAGCTTTGGGAAGGGATGCCTCACACCAGACCATGTCGCCCAAGGCTCCGACCAACCTGGCCTTGAACACTGCCAGGGATGGAGCATTTACTGCTTCTTAGGGCAGCCTGTGCCAGGGCCTCACCACCCTCATGATCAACCTCTGTGCTCAGTTTCCCTGGTTTTTGAACACAGAGAGGGTTGGTGTTGGAAGTAGGGATCAGAGTGCTAGCCAGTGCTTGCAAGAGGTTGAGATGCTCATGTAAGGGAAACTCCAAAAGACCCAGGTACTCTGAATGTGTTACTTACAAAGTCCCAGTGAAATCAATGAAGCCTTCCCCATCATCCTGATGTCTTCCTTCTCAAAGAGGCTGCTTGTGGACCAGAGGAAAGGCAGAAGAAACGATTGCAGGTCCCAGATACCACTTCTTACAGCCTCCTTGCTGCAGTGCAGCTGGAACAGCTCAGTCTGGTGGACAGATAATTGTGAGGCAATTCCTAGGAGCAAATAGCAGCCCAGCAAAAGTGCTAGGCCATGGGGTAGATTTGTGCCTGCCCTCTGCATGCTCAAATCTGCTCCAAGTTTGTGTTTTTTCCCACCCTCAGAAACACTTCACCCTCACCTGGATAGTACCCACATACCACAGCATGAGCAACGCCTCGAGCAGCAGTGGGCACAGCTTGTGCACTCTGTGGAGCTGCCCCTGTTTTGACATCAGCGTGAGGCTGATCTGATAGACAAGCACGACTGCTCTGCTCATGCAAGCCTTAAGGACACGTTGGCAGCCTGAGCAGTATAAAAGCACGTGGAGAGTCTGTTTCCTTCTGCTCAAAATGATTATTGCATGTGTGTGATTTTTGTCCAGATACCAAACTGGGCCCCGAAGCCTTTCGCTTTGATGCTGGCACTGAAGCCATGGCAACCAGACTCAGCGAGCGCTACTACATCCTGCGGCCAGAGGTGGTGGAAAGCTACATGTACATGTGGCGGCTGACACACGATCCCAAGTACAGGCAGTGGGGCTGGGAGGTTGTGAAGGTATGGTTGGAATAACGCTTCCAGGCTGCTGCATTCTTACACAGCTCTTTCCTTTGGAGAGAAAAGAGCAGACTCTCAGTTGTGTTGGGCGCTAAGACACATTAGCCGTGCGGCAGGAATGCACAAAACAGCTCGATGTAGTGCGGTGTCTGTTGATCATTGTGAGTGTTTTCTTCTCCCTTTTGGGCTACACTAAAAACAGTCAATCAGAACAGTGGAGGTTTATGGAGAGGAGTGCTGCAGACAGCAAAACCTGCTATTAATGAAGCAGCCCTCTGCACAAAGGAGTCAATGTACTATCTGCAGTATCTAGGCTGCTCAGAACCATGGGTTTGTAATGGGCCAGGAAAAAGCAGGAAACCTGCCTTTGCCCTGGCTTCTGTCTTCTTCCCACAAAGACCTCCGAGCCAGAAAGTCCCTCACCTCTTTCTAGCTCATGCAATAGCCTGTTAGCCCCTGCCCACATCCTAGCAGGAGCTGCATTTCAGTGGCACAGCTGTCATTTGTCTTCTTCCTGGAAAAGAGCCTCCACAAGCAGCAAGTTACCACTTGAGATCTGGTTGTGCTATTTCTGTAACATCAAGGTCAATCAATCAACTAACTTAGGTGGTTGATGTTTCTCTTGCTATTTCATTAGAACCAACTTTATTTCCAGAGTCTGGAGTAATCACTACACTCCTTGTGAGAGACAGAGCCTACTGTAATCCCAGAATTTGATTTGTAAAGCTGAATTGTAATGGACCTGATGATGATTAATGAGTTCCTACTCCATGCTGTTGTGTGTTACTGAGATTTCTTTTCCTTTCGCAGGCCCTGGAAAAGCATTGTAGAGTAGAAGCTGGTTTCTCTGGCATCCGAGATGTTTATACCACAACCCCGACCCATGACAACATGCAACAGAGTTTTTTCCTCGCTGAGACTCTGAAGTAAGTCCAGTGTCACAGAGACCTTTCAGAGTAGCATAATTCCTGCAGCATCAACACTCGTCTGCTTAATTAGTCTCTAATAATAAGGGGGAAGTCTTACTCTCTGTGGGGAAAACTGGGCAAGGCTGTGGGTGCTGCAAAGCTTTGGCAGTTTCCTCCTGTAGCACTATGCTGTCATTGGCACTCTCAAGGTTTTTGCTCATGTGGGGGATTTAAAGGACTCTTCCTGTGATTTACTGCTGTTCTAAGTGGGAGGCTCTGACTGCTGAGCTCCCTTGTATTTAGCTAAGAGACAGCATGTCTCCTCTGCCAGGCTGATGCCCTGTATACAGAGATGTGACTGTGGCCTGAATTTGCTGCCCCTTGGTGCAGAGCTGCCTTTCACAGGTAGCATGAGCCAATGTTGTTGCTGATCACAGATGCCCTCCCCGTTGTTCCACCTTTGCACCAGGGCTGGTAATTTCAAGCAGGAGAGCCCGGCAGGGAGTGAGGGAACGTGTTACCATAAACTGTGGCAGCTGAGGCCAGTGGCAGCCCCCATCACAGTCCTGCTGCCAGTGCTTGTGTGTGCCTGGAGTCCCACTCGCGTTTCCTTCCATCTCCCTCCTGGCTCCAGGTACCTCTATCTTCTGTTCTGTGAAGATGACGTGCTGTCTCTGGACGACTGGGTGTTCAACACAGAGGCTCACCCCCTGCCAGTCAACCACACGAACTTTAAAGCAAGCGTGCAGCAGTGAGGCCACTGCCCAGGCCCTGCTGCTGCAGCCTCGGCGCGTTACAGCTTTTCCTTTCCATTAAAGGAATTTGCATTGTTCCTGAAATGGTATTTTGGGGCATAGTCCAATTCCGGACAGTATTGTATGGGGAAGATGAAACCGTGATGTAAGCACCTTCTTTTCCTCTGTGAGGAGCAATATTAGCCTGATACTGAGATGTTTATTCTGGGCCATATTGTACACAGTTCATAGACATTCCTTTATACAGAGAATTTATATGAAATCCACTGACTTTGCTTTATAGTGGCCAAAGGACTGGAAGTTTGCCATAAAATAGACTTCACACACACACAAACATCCTCCTTTCGTTTCTCAGTTTCATTCTTGCCTTTTATATACTCCTGGATTGATCACCTTTGTAATGAACAGTTGCCAATATACGATGCTTCCTAGGCACTTAGAAAGGGCAGGACAGGAGCATGAGGAAGAGGAGATGCCCTTTATGTGGGAGAGCAGGTGGAGCGCATGGAGCTCCATGCTGACTGTGAGCTTATGGGTTAGGATTGAAGAGAAGACATACAAGTGACATTATAATGGGTGTCTGCTATAGGCCACCTGACCAGAAAGAGCTCACTGATCAGCAAGACAGGGAACCTGATTACATAGGACATGGAAACAGTTGAAATACCAAATGTCACCTTTGTCTCAGTCTTCACTAGCAAGACTTGTCTTCAGGAATCACAGGTTCCATAGACCAGGGGGAAAGGCTGGAGCAAAGATGTACCTTTGGTGGAAGAGGATCAGGTCATGGAATACTTAAGCCAACTGGACATAGATAAGTCCATGGGCCTTGAGGGAATGCACCCACAAGTGCTGAGAGAGCTGGCAGATGTCACTGTCTCAATAATCTTTGATTGACCATGGCAACTGGGAGAAGTGCTCAAAGACTGGAGTAAAGCAAATGTTCCTCCTGTCAACAGGAAGGGCAAGGAGGAAGACCCAAAGAGCCATATGCTCATGAGGCTCACCTCAGTCCCGGAGAAGGCGACATTATCCTGGAAACCATTTCCAGGCACAGGAACAACAAACAATTCCTCAGGAGTAGCCAGCAGGGCTTCACCAAGGGGAATCGGGCTTAGTCAACTTGCTAAACTTCTATGCTGAAATGACTGGCCTGGTGGATGAGGGGAGAGCAGCAGATAGAGTCTTCCTGGACACTGTCAAAGGAGATCATCATAGACAAGCTGTTGATCTATAGGCTGAGCAGCCAGTGAGGTGGGTTGAAAACTGGCTGATGGTTGGGCATAGAGGTGGTGATCAGTGGCACAACGTCTGTTAGAGGCCAGTAGCTAGCAGAGTATCGCAGGGATCAATACTGGTCCAGTCCTGGTTAATGTCTTCATTAATGATCTGGATAATGAGGCAGAGTGTACCCTCAGCACGTTTGGTGATGACATAAAACTAGGAGGGGTGGCTGATAGACCAGAGGGTCGTGCTGCCATCCAGAGGGACCTCAACAGGCTGGAGAAATGGGCTGGTAAGAACCTCATGAAGTTCAGTAAGCAGAAGTGCAGAGTCCTGTACCTGGGAAGGAACAAGCCCATGCTCCAGCATGTGCTAGAAAGCATCTTGGCAGAAAAGGACCTGGGGGTCCTGTGGACACCAGGTTGACCATGAGCCAGCAATGGGCCCTTACTGCAAAGAAGGCCAGTGGTATACTGGGCTGCATTAGCCCCAAAGCATTGCCAGCAGGGCGAGGGAGGTGATCTTTCTCTGCTCGGCCCTGGTAAGGCCACAGCTGGAGTGCTGTGTCCAGTTCTGGGCTCCTCAGTACAAGAGAGACATGGACATAGTGCAGTGAGTGCAACAAAGGGCCACAACAATCATTAAGGGACTGGAACATCTCTCCTACGAGGAAGAGCTGAGAGCTGGGACAGTTTACCCTGCAGAAGGCTCAGGGGGAATCTTTTATATATACATGCATTAGGAGGGAGGGTGCAAAGAGGATGGAGCCAGGCTCTTCCCAGTGGTGCCCAGTGACAGGACCAGCACAAACTGAAACACAGGGGAGTCCTGAACATCAGGAAACGCTTCCTGTACTGTGCTGGTGACTGAGCACTGCACAGGCTGCCCAGGGGGCTCTGGGTGGCCGTGCTTGAGCAAGGGGTTGAACCAGATGCCCCAGAGGCTCCTGCCAACCTCACCCATCCTGTGATTCTGTGGTGTCAAAGCTGTAACTAAATCAAAAGCTGTCTGCAGAGTTCTTGATTCTAACGTATTTTTGTATACTTCTTCTGTGCTCTTAAAACACATTTCCCACACGTGACATCTCATTTCACTGCCCTTCATCGGTTTTGTGTTTTTCTACTTTCATTTGGAACTAAATGTTATGAGTCACTTGTAATAATTTCACTGCTGTAATAGTCAAATCTGTGAAACAGAATAAAGTCTTGTAACATAAAAAGCATGTTTGGGTTGATCCTCTGTCAAGCCATCTGGCAGAGACCTGCTACATCATGCTTGGAATAACTAGGTGACAATACTGCTTGATTTCAAGAGTATTTCACAATAGATGTTGATTTCCTGAGTACTGTAGCCAGTGTGTGTGGACAGCAATTCCCATCTGCACCAGCTCTCTTAAACTGCTTCTTCCCCATCTGATAGGGGTTAGCAGAAGCTCTACTAAATGTCTCGTTTTTCTAGCACAAATAAATAATCCCCAGCCAAGTTTGCGCTTCCGTGTGCGTTGTTTCTGGAATGAAGTAACACAAGGAAAGGAAAGGGAAAAGCCCGAAGCCAGGTTGTTCCATGCCCCAGGCCCTGAGCCAGCGTTCAGCCCGTGCGTCCTCTGAGCGGGACGAGTGTGCAGGAATGCTCACGCACAGCTCCTGCTCCAGTTTTGAGTACCTGCTTCACGCTTCTTGCAACAAGGGCTGGATCTGGGATCTGGAATCGGCCTCCTCCCTCCCAGCAGCCGTTCCTCTGGTCGCTGCAAAGCTGCACGGCCCTTGGTGAAGGGTTCTGTGCCTTCTCTCGCTAACTGCTTCATCCAGCAACTTGGGAAGAGAAAGTTGCTTTGAGCAAGCTCGAAAAACAAAAGATGTGTTTCTGAATTCATGCCTGTGTAATTCCCCAAGAGAAATACAGTTGTCAGATGGGGACTTAGCATTATCCCAGGGATAAAGCTGCTGGCTGGTAAGCTTGGCCTAGAGGAATGGGTTTTGGTAAATAAACATCTTGGGAGTGAGTTACCAGAGAGATTTGGATACCAGGAAGCTGGTTTAGCTCAGAGGGGTTTTATAATGGATTAAGGGAATTCCATAAATAAAAATGTCCTGCTCTTGGAGTAACTCAAAGCTCTTTGCCTGGCAAAATGTAAATCCCCAAAATAAATAGCATGGTTCTAGTTTCCTTTAGAAATAGATCCTTGGTATTATATGAAAACTCTCTGCTCGTTTTCTCTTCCACACAAGTGAGCAAGAAGAGTATTTGTAAAGTCACATCCACACACTGCTGAAGGAGAGCTGCTGCTTCCTGCACCTCAGTGGCTGCATCACAAACAGAGAGGGGGTTCAGCTGCCTGGTGATGTAAATCTTACTGATAAATTTGCTCACCAAGACACTTGTATGGGGCTTAGCACCAGCCACAGCAACAGCTTTGTGCTGCAAACAGCCATGCTTGGAAATTGCTGCTCTCCCACACCACAATCCTGCAACTATTTCTGCCTGTGTTCACAGATACCCACAGTTAAAGCCCTGAGGCCAGCGGATTAATTGCAGGCACCAAGTTAAGCATGCATGTGTTTAGCAGGAATAAAGATTCATCCCAAGGATCAGCTTTGTTCCAAGGACTGGCGCTGGTCCACAACTGGGATTTTCTGTCCTATGACAACAGAAGTAACGGGGATGTTTCCCCCACTGGTGTGTTGAAAAGCTCATGCTCTTGCCTTGCTCCTCTGCACACTCGAGCCTTGGCTGGATGCTCTTCCTCAAGCAGAGCCCTCAGCTCTGGGAGCTCTGTGTGCAGAAGCAGGTTCTGGGATGTCCCCTCTCATTTTCCACCTACCTTGTGTCCTTCCTCCTGAGTGGGGTGGTGGGATGTCTGCATCCAGATGGACGATGCACATCTTTGTCTTGGAGTAGGTAAAGAAATGGGGTGTCATGTTGAACCAGAGGTTTGGTTTTAAATGTCTAATGGAAAGGACCTGGGAAGATGTGTGTGCCTGAGCTGCTTTCCTGCCTTTCAGTCTCAGGCATGTGGGACATCAGTAGGAATGCTGCTCTTAATTTACAGTGGGTTTTTTTTACTTTGGAGTTTCCTTACCAGGAAATGCGACGGGCCTACATGATTTCCCGTTTCCCCTGTTACACTCACATTCAGAAGCGGTGGTTCTCATGTTAAGTTTCACCATCAGAACATGTGGCCTTATTTATGTCGGCAGGAATTTCTTGTAAATGAAGTTCTAATGAGAAAGTTGCATCAGTCAGAGAGATGAAAGCTCCTATGGCTCGTAGAACGCCTTAGCTGTTGTCACCGCCCATACAAGGAGGGAAGACAAAACCATGCAGAAAACAAATGCATCTTTTTGTAAGCCACACTTCATTTTTACAGCGTTATTCAATTCCCTTGGAAGGCTTTCAGTGCAATTGGTTATTGAATTCAAAAGCCTGGCAGCCATGGGATTTTTCCACATACATTTTGATCTGCTCTATTTATCTGATTGTTCCACATGTGATGCACTAAGCGCTGGCTCCCAGTGGCAGCACTTTCAAAGTGTCAGCAGTTACTTCTGATCACGTTTGGGTCTTTGGCTTCATTCCCTGGGGAGCCTCAAGCAGGTACTGTGCTGTAATTAGGAATCCTCTCAATAAACCACCCCTGCATTGTAATTGCTTTTGTTTAGTGAGAGCCGGTGAGTGTCAGAACTGCAAGTGACCCACCAGGTTGGACTGCTTCCAATTGGAATAGGAAAGGCCAAGGGGGAGTTAGAAATTCAGGCCCATGGGAACTGGGTAGGCATTGGCTCTTGCTCTTCAACTAAATGGTCTACTTTGAAATGTCTCAATCAAACTGCATTTCACTCTGCAGCCTTTGCTGGGCATTC